CCGTCTTCGATGCTGCCCTCCACTCTACCTCTCGGGGCACGTGGAAGTGCGTTCCCTGGTGGAATGCGGAACACCGACGAAGGCAGACAGCTGATTCTTTTATTTTGTTTCGGAAGGCTGGTGCGGTGGCCCGTAGGAACATCCGTACAGCTAAACGTGAGAGTTGGAAATCTTATGTTTCCACCATTACGTCCGATACTCCTCTGCCACAGATCTGGAAGAAGATCTGCAAGATTGCTGGTAAGTTCGTTCCAGATGTCTCGCCGGTTCTTCACCTCTGTGGTACTCTTGTGGCGGACCCAGTGCAGGTCGCGACCGAACTGGGTTCCCACTTTTCAACTGTTAGCTCCGGTTCTCATCTTCCTCAATCCTTCCTTCTTCGTAAGCCTGTTCTCGAATCTCATCCCTTAGATTTCTGCACTCCCCTCTGCCTTCCCTATAACGATCCCTTATCTCTCTCTGAACTTTAGTCTGCCCTGGCCCTCTGCGGTTCTACGGCAGCGGGCTCTGATAACATTCATTATGAGATATTATTATTATTATAACCAGGTCTGGGAGTCGTCGTCCGTCCCTGAGGACTGGCTCGATGCCGTTGTACTCCCTATTCGGAAACCAGGGTCTCTCGGGACATCCACTAAGGACTTCCGCCCCAATGCCCTCACGAGTTGTGTCTGCAACCTCTTTGAGGGTATGGTCAATGTTCGTCTGATGTGGTTCTTGGAACACTATCACCCCCTCTCCCAATCTCAATTTGGTTTTCGCAAGTGCCGCAGCACGACTGATGCCCTGGTGAACTTGGAGGTCTATATTCGTACTGCTTTTGCTGCGAAGACTTCCGTTGTTGCTGTCCTTTTTGACCTGGAAAAGACTTACGACACCACCTGGAGATACCATGTTCTGTCCCAACTTCGTTCTTTTGGCCTTCGTGGTAATCTCCCTCTCTTCCTCCAAAGCTTCCTCTCTCGTCGTTCCTTTAGAGTGAGGCTTGGTGCCACTCTCTCTGCCTCTTTTCACCAATTCGAAGGTGTACCTCAAGGTAGGGTTCTGAGCACTACTCTTTTTCTAGTTGCCCTCAATAGTCTTCTTTCCTCCCTTCCTTCTGGCGTCTTCTCCGCTCTCTATGTTGACGATCTTACCCTTTGCTGCCGAGGTGATGATTCGCCTCTCCTTCAACGGCGACTTCAACTTGGGATTTATACCATGTCGTCTTGGGCCACCAATCGTAGCTTCAAGATCTCTGCAACCAAGACTTGTGCTATGACTTTTACTGGGAAACATGTTATTCTTCGTCCCTCTTTGTCACTTTATGGTCATCCCCTTGAGTACAAAGATTCCACGAAGCTTTTGGGGTTATTCTTTGACACTCGTTTGCCTTGATCGCCCCATGTCTCTTATCTCCGAGTTGAATGCTCTAAGGCCCTTAACCTACTTAAGGTTTTGTCCCATACTTCATGGGGAGCGGATAGGCACACGCTCCTCTCTTGTACTGTCTAAACTTGATTATGGTTGCCCCTGTATACTCTTCTGCTTCTCCTTTTATTCTTCGCTGTCTTGATCCTTTGCACCAATCTGGGTTGCGTCGCAGCTCTGGTGCTTTTCGTTCGACTCCTACCCTCAGCTCGTACGTTGACACTGGTTTCCAGTCCCTCCAGGACCGCCGAGGTCACTACTGTCTACGTTACCTTGCGCGGACCTTCCAACACCCTCACTCTCGCCTGTCTCTACTACACAAAATCATTTACGTCCTCTAATTACCCAACACAAAGCTGCTGTTAGAACAATATCTAACTCTGGCCCCAGACAGCACTCCGTACCCTTACTCAAATCTCTGAATATGTTAGATATTAAGTCACTGCACATCCTCTCTTGTGTACTCTATATATTTAAAACACTGAATTGTAATGTCAATCCTGACCTTTAAAGCTTCTTAGAATTTTGTAACATGGGCACCACACTAGAAATAAATACCTATTTGATATTCCAAGAGTGCGACTTAAACTAGAAATGCTCTACAAATCAAGGGACCCAGAATGTGGAATGACCTTCCCAATCATGTTAAAGACTGTACCTCTCCCAACCAGTTTAAGATAAAAACTAAGTACCACCTAATTAACTCCATGTAATCTACCTCACCCCTAAATGTCAACCCATGTCTGCTATTTTAAACAATGCTGTTTGTTGACCAAATTGTATATTTGCTATTTTTCTGCCATGTTCCCCCTTTTTTATTTTTATTTTTTCTCAGCACAATTTGTACTTTAATCTCAATTAGTATTAAGTTTTAGTTTTAGTGTTTTTCCTGCCCGAAACGCTTTGCGTAATAGTGGCTTTAGTCATTGTATGTACTAGCTCTATCTATAAATCCATCAACTTTTTGTATCTCTTTTTTTATTAATACATTAGGTACATCTGCATTAGTGCAGCTACCCTAGACTATATGAAGTGGAGTACAGTGTGTCAAAAAAGCTAACTACGTGATGCTATAAAATCCCATCACACAGGATGGTTAGTCATACAGAGGCATGTGATAGGCAGTCTGCACTGGCAGACTCTGGGTGCATTATGAGGATATCATCAACACAAGATTGAATAAGGTAGCAGTGGTAATACAAGTCCCCACCTCGCAGGATGGTTAGTCATACAGGGCCATATGTTTAGTAGCCTGCACTGGCAAATTTTGGGTACACTGTGAGGATATCTTCAAGAATACGAGAGTGAATAAAGTAATTGCAGAGCTCCAGGTACCTCATGCCAACTGGTCTGAAAGGTATAATAACTGGGCATTCAGTGATGTAGTGCGGGAGAGCGTGCCGTAGTTCCTGCTCACAGAGTTTGCAACTGGAGTGCTCAGGATTGGGAGCTCCGTCACCTGCAGCCACCTGCCACAGGTAACGGTAACCCAACCTGATCCTGGCAACCACTGTGTCGCACAGTCTGGTGGACGTTTTGTGCTGCCCAAAGATATAGGTTTCAGATCTGAACAAATCATAGCTTTTTATACCGTGTATGTATGTACTTTACCTGAATAGACATTTAAAATTTGAATTTTGAATTTTTGAAATAAACAGACGGACAAGAATTTTTTTTAATATATACAAGGCAGATATCAGTAGTTTTACAAGTTAGTAATAAATCATTAGAGGTTATCATTATTAATTACAGGTTATCATTATTCATTACAGGTTATAATTAATCATTACAGGTTATCATTAATCATTACAGGTTATCATAAATCATTACAGGTTATCATTAATCATTACAGGCTATCATTAATCATTACAGGTTATCATTATTCATTACAGGTTATCATTATTCATTACAGGTTATAATTAATCATTACGGGTTATCATTAATCATTACAGGTTATAATGAATCATTACAGGTTATCATTAACATTATAATCATTAATCATTATAATCCTGTGGGCGATAAAACATCTCCTGTTTTCAGTCCAACATTGTGGCTTGTTGAGCTTGAACCCGTTGCTCCTCGTTCGTGTTACATCTGACCTTTTGAAGAAATTGTCCGGATCAACATCCTCCAAATTGTTCAGTATATTAAAGGTTTCAATAAGATCCCGCGCTGTTATGTCTGATCTGTGGTGTTGTCAGCCCCGTGGCCCTCAGCCGCTCCTGATATGAGAGCTGACTTAGCTCTGGGAGGACTTTTGTTGCCCGGTGTTGCACCTTCTCCAGAGCAGCTATGTCCTTCTGAGGACGAGCTCTCCATGCCTGGGTACAGTAATCCAAATGGGGGAGCACCAGAGATTTATACAATTGAATTACTGTACTACCTTCTTTTCCTTGAAGTCGAAGGTACGCTTGATTATTCCAACTTTTTGATTAGCTTTTCTGACTGCTAGCTGCCCCTACCTGCTGTGTAACTTTCATTGAGTGGTGTATTCTGATTCCCAAGTGCTTTTCTTCGTCAATCTGCTGTAGTGTAATGTTATTAATTTGGTAGTTGTGGCGTGGGTTGTTATGCCCCACTTGCAGGGTCTTGCATTTGTCAATATTAAAAAGTATTTGCAAGTCAGCATGAGGTCTCCATGCTTGATTACTAAGACCTTCAATAAAGAAATTCTGCATGTCTTCTGTGCAAGGGTTAGGATGAGCTAATGTAAGCATTTTTATACCAATTTGACAGTTAATTTCAGTAAAACGATTAATGACGCTCGGAATATTACGTTCCTTTCTCATATTAAGTATTTATGTAGCCTACCCTACCCTATGGGGTACGAGGGCACCCAAAGATCATCCTCAAGGATTCCTTCTGCAATTTTGTAATTAATCTTCTATGTATGTATTTTTACCTGAATAAACATTTGATTTGATTTGATTTGATGTCAAACCCTCCAAGCTTTTATTCAGGCATCATAGCAAGCAGAAATAAATTCCTAATAAATTCCCTGTAACCTACCTTACCCTTCTATTGTCGACCAATGTCTGTTTTTTTCTTTAAAGAGCGCTGTTTGTCGACATAATTGTATTTGTGCTGCTTTTTCATCTATGTTTTCATTTCTTGTTTTCATTCTACTCATTATGCTCAATTAGTATTAAGCTTGTCATTTAAGTTTATCATGCCCGAAACGCTTTGCGTAATAGTGGCTTTAGGCATTGTATGTACTAGCTCTACCTATAAGTCAAACAATTCTTGTAAATATTTATTGTATGTATGTACCTTACCTAAATAAAATTGTATTGTTGTATTGTATTGTATTGTAGAAGTGCAGCATAATCCCCTAAAGATGTATGCAAGGCACATCATTTTAACTTTTCAAACATTGGCACCAGTTTAGTTTAGTTCATTTATTATGCATCCCATACCTATCTTGTGGGCGCCAAAAATCATAATATTCAGTAATATGATCAATGAATTAATTATTAATAATAAAAAATAGTACATCGTAAAACTGAAAAATAAAGAATCGAATTAGTTTTAATTGGAAACTATAGAGGATGAGATCCGGATGGCGGCGGTCATGGCGTCTATGAGGCAGTGATTGCTATACGTAAACAGTCCCCGCGTCGCTCGCAGGAGGTCAGGTTTTCCTAAATTAACTCTGTAGCACAGCTGGGGACAGAGTAGCGGAGGTAACACAAGGTGAATTAAGCTCATCCACTGCGATCTGTTGTGACTGTGAGTTTATTTAGGGGACAAGAACAGTGGAACACTTGGTCCTTGCGGCGTGTCCCTGACACAAGGATGAGGTTTAAAGATGAGCCTAAGGGTAGTCTTTCTACATTATTGCTACTCTTTTAAACTGGCCCATTACTTTTAATCCTGCCATAATGTAAATATTTTATCTTACCTAACGTAACCCAATATCACCTATCCTATTGCAACCAAACTTAAGGTAACCGAACCTAATGTAATCTTACCCAACGTAACCTAACAAAACATAGCTTAGCTTAACTTACCCTAACCTTACATAACCCAACCTAGTGTAACCTATCCTAATGTAATCTATCCTATAGCACAGCGGTCAGCACAATAAGGTCACAGGTTTGATTACTGTGGCAGGATGAAACATTTTGGCAATGTTCTCTTACACCTGATATGTCTGTTCACCTACTAGTAAATAGGTACCTGGGAATTAGGCAGCTGTTGTAGGTGGCTTCCTGGGAAGTGTCGGTAATTGTCATAGTATGATCTTGTCAAGCCTAACAGGCTTCCTGTCCCCAATAATGGGAATACCTATCCTATCCTAACCTAAATCTTGTTATATCTGATGCCAAAAACACACGATTTCTAGAGCATCTCAATATAAACATTTGGAAAAGAAAGGATACCTGTAATTACCTAAGTGTAGTTACAGAAGGAGAGCTGTAACTTGGCCATTCTTGTGTATGGCTAAGTTGCTACATGTCTGTACCTGTAAGTATGGCACCATCGTCAATGGAAGCTAGAAAAATAAATAATGTAGGTAAGGTAATTATCAGGGGAGAGTGCAAAGTCAATATGACTAGTACATGGACGGGGACATTGGGGTAAATTGCTTGTTTATCACTTGTTTCTCTTTATTTGCAAGTGTGTATGTTGAATAACTCGATAAATCACGTAATTCACTTAACACATGACAATGTTTCAATTGGTGATGGTTTACTCAGTATTCTTCATTACAACCATACAGTATAGTGAAAAGTATATAAACACAATATGCAATGGTGCTAGGCTCTGGGCCATGACATATGGTCTAATTATGTTATGTTATGTTTATTCAGGTAAGGTATATACATACAAGTGATGTTACATTAATGGATTGATATATAGATAGAGCTAGTACATACAATGCCTAAAGCCACTATTACGCAATGCGTTTCGGGCAAGAAAAACATTAATATCTAGAACTTAATACTAATTGAGCATCATATGGGCGAGAATATAGATGGAAACAAATGCATAAAGCCACCAATGCCACCCACAGATGGCCACAGGCTCCTAGTACACATAGCACATGATAATGGTTCAGTTAGTGATTAGTTTACCTAGTATTCCTTATTATAGCCATACAAAGTTGTGAAAACTATATGAACATTGGAATACATATCATGTAATTATGATAGAATTTTATACAGTGATGATGACCGCATTCGCATAGCAATGCAACTGTGAAATGATGGTAGAATTTATTTCATGGGTCAAGATAAACTCCATTTTTACCTTAAACAAGGTAAATCCTCAGAGAGCTATTATATCCTTATTTGCATCGTACAGTACAAGTAAAATCCAGACAATAAGTGATCAAATCTTTATATGATAAATGCATTACTAGTACCTCGTGAATCGACATAACACGATAACCGCTGTCTAAGGGTTGAGGTATAGCGACCACAGCCAATCTTGTGAAAGTATTTCATATTCAGTACTTTGAAAAGTATGTTCCAATCATTATTTTAATATAGATTGTACAAAAATAAATGTTAATTCCTCTTTGAATACCCTCTATAATTGGCATCCCATGTCTTTATAAAATGCTAACATCTGAGCTGAATGGGAACCAGCACCAAGTGATCAGCTGAGCTGGAACATTAGACACTTAAATCTCATTGTTTTCAGTTTCCATGACTGAGTGGTAACTCACTCGCCCTATGCTTCATGAGCACTTTGGCCTGGTTTTGTATCCTGGCTGGGAAAGATTGACTAGGAGCCAAACCTTAACTGTACCCCTCTGTTCACCCAGCAATAAATAGATACAGTAGAACCTCGAGTGGCGAGCGGCTCCATTTACGAGCATTTCGAGTAACTAGCAAGCCACTCGCAGAAAATGTCTCGACTGACGAGCTTTCCCTTGATTAACGAGCGGTGCTGGAACAGATTAAACTCGTTAGTCGAGGTGCCACTGTATCTGGTTGTTAAAAGATTTGGCAAGATGTATTCTAGGGAAAATTTAGAATAAGGACCTGCCCGAAATACTATGCATGCTAGTGGTTTCACAAGACTGCAAGAACTCTTGTATACAATATATAAATAAAATAAAATAAATTAATACTGTAATAAAAAAATTCTCAGTGACAGAAAGCCTAAGGAAACTTGCCTAACTGTTTGTGTCTTGCCCAGGGATTCAACCCAGATCCCTCAGTTGTGAGTGAGGACGTAGAAGCCAGTCTAAAAAAAATCTGCGTGAGTGTGTTTGCATGCACATATGCACTGAATTATCTTTTCCCACAATCACAGTACTGGGGCATTGTGTGCTGATTCTTCTCCAAACCTTATACTAGCAACCATCTGTGTACTTCCATGAATGGGGTAATTTTATAATCCAGCCACTGAAAAGGGTAAAAAATAACTGAGTAAGGGGCTAGAAGGGTGGTGGTGGGAGGCTGGAAGGAAGAGGAGAGAAATAGAGGGAAAAAGTTCCCCAAATTGTGTAGATGACTAGAAATATATTCCTGGGGTGGTTTACAAAGAATTTTGTTCCCAGGGTAAAGGATCACCTTAAAAATGTAGGCCTGCCACAAAATAATAGTGTCATTATCCATGGATTATCTGCCCATGTCATATAGACTTTTTTGTAGTTAATGAGAAGTAATATACAATTGAGTGGATATGCCTCCCTCAACACCACCCCTCTTCCTACCAGCCTCAACACCACCCCTCACCCTGCCTCCTTCAACACCACCCCTCACCCTGCCTCCCTCAACACCACCCCTCACCCTGTCTCCCTCAACACCACCCCTCACCCTGCCTCCTTCAACACCACCCCTCACCCTGCCTCCCTCAACACCACCCCTCACCCTGTCTCCCTCAACACCACCCCTCACCCTGCCTCTCCCCCTCAATGCATCCCTCCATCAATCACTGCCTCCCATCCCTCCCTCAATGCCTTGGAGGTCGGTGGCCTGTTACCATGTGAGGGGCCGCCGATGAAAAAACAAACTCAATACCGACCTTCGGTAATATCGACCACCAAACCGGTATATAAGGGTCCATATACCGGTCTCTCAAACCGGTCATTATTACTGGCAGATCGGTATAAAAGAGGCCGTTAAATTGAGTGGATACTGTTACTCTTTCTATCCCCACCCATTAATTTATGAGCAAGACTTGGGTGATACAAATATATAACTGTCAAACTTCCCTTCCTATGTGTCATGGGGCAGAATGGTATGTGAGTATGTGTAATTATGTAAGAGTATGTATTTACAGGGTGAGAGCTATGCTCAAGGTGTCCCGTCTTCTCGGTACTCTTTTGTAATATAACACATTGAAATTACTGTATGAGCTACTACTAATTATACTACTGTATATATACAGTACTACTCATGATACTACTACTACATTATACTACTTTATAATATCCAAGGCCTGCCGAACCAAATATTTGGGTTATTCAGCCAAAAATCGCATCCATATAATTTTCTGATAAAACTTCGTTATATGAAGACAGAAATCTGGATAACCAGAGATTAGACGAGATAATGCAGACTGGCATGGTCTAACTCAGGTCTGGAAAATTGTCTGGGAAAACTTCTCCATATCCGGACATAAATCAGGATAACTGGACATTAGGTTACGTAAATATTCAAGACCTACACATTTAAAGATCTATAGTATCAAACAAGAAGGCAACTGCAACAAGGAAAGCTAAAGTTTATGTTTTAACCCTTAGACAGCAGTTATATGTTGATATACGGTGTAATGTGGTTATCGTCATATGATTTTAAAGAATTATTATCTGGGTTCTCCATGTATGATGCAAATGAGGATAAAATAGATCCATGTAGATGTAATAGTTTACCTTGACCCATGAAAGAAGTCGTGCTATTGTTTCATGATTACATTACTATATGAATGTGGTTAACGTCATAAATGTTACTAGGTGAATGTGGTCATCGTCATTGTATAAATTCCATCATAATTACGTACTGTGTGTACTGTATATCAATGATGCTGATATGGTTTTCACAACTTGATATGGTTGTATTGAGGTATACCAGTTAAACTAATTGTCAATTGAACCATTATCGTGCATTATGTGTACTAGGAACCTGCTGTCATCTGTTCGGTGGCGCACTGGTGTATTGCTCCTCTGTTTCAATCTATACTGTCACCCATATGGTGTCAATTAGGCCCTATGTCATCACCCACAGCCCAACACCCATGTATATTACTGTATAGTTATATGGCTGTAATGAATTGTACCAGGTAAACTAATCATCAATTGAAACATTGTTATGCATTATGTGAATTGTAAGATTATCAAGTTATTCAACCCACACATGTTTTTAAATAAAGAGAAACAAGCGACAATCAATGAAACATGGGAGTAGAGCACAGGAGTCGTGTCTCCTGTGATTAATTAAGAAAAATTAATTGAATTTTAAACATTAATTCATAAAATGGTTGAACATTTATAATGACTTAAGTTTACAAAATTCCAATTACATTACAGCAAAAAAAGTTAAGTCTCCTTAATTTTTGTGGTTTAAATTTTGTCTAACACTACTGCTAATAGACTTATTGCATTTCAGGAATTTGGATGCTTGCTGTAATTTCAAGACATTAAGTTATGGCAATATACTAGATTGTAGTACTACCTTTTGGCAAGGATTTCAATATAAGCCAGTCATGACAACCACAGAGCAAAATGCTGTCAATAAGTCCTGGGAACTCTCCTTGTATGAACTCCACAGAACACCACAAGAAGCTATTACAGACAATACGGAAATTGCTGTTTCCCCACGATCCCTTCACTCTGAACTCATGTGCCCAATATGCCTCGACATGCTAAAAAATACTATGACCACAAAGGAGTGCCTTCATCGATTCTGTCAGGTTGGTTGTTTGTGTTTTTTGTTGCTCATAATTGTTTACTATCACGAGTGAGTGTTCTCCATGTATTATTTCAAGGGTGAGGTGAAATAAATTATACAACCCATGAAGTGTTGACCAGACCACACACTAGAACCATGAAGAAGTGCTTTCATCAATTCTGGTAGCTTGGTTGATCACGATTTTTTTTTTGTCGTAATTGTTTAATAACGTGAATTTTCTCGATGCTTTATATCATGAGTGAGATATTTCTAGAAAGGGTCTTTTGGTAATAATTCAAGAGCCTGGGGAAGGTATGATACAGCTCTGGATCACTTTTTCTTTGTGTATTTGAGATCATTCTGGGAATTCAATGTAATGTTATTTTGGCTACTCAAAATCTTCTACAATTTGTATTGTTTCAGAGTTGCCAATATGAACCAAAATGTTGCCACCTTATTTTATTTTCAGTCATGTTATTTTGACTTATTCTCGTCAGTCCTACAGTTTTTCTCAGCTTAAACAACTCTGTCACTTCCATAGACCAAGTTCAGCACTTCCCAGGATGTAGCCAAAGTTAAGTACGATCAGTATGACATCTCTGATACACCAGTGGACCTTTTCATGCCCAGAATGATCATCAAGAGTTTCATTCAACTACATCAAAATACCTCCTTATAACACTACTGTACTAGACTTCAAATGAAAAACTAAGCATTGCTTTTGCTAAACTGCTAGTTTGTTGCCTGACAATTTCCCCCAACCTATCTACAAAAGCCATTAATCACACTGCCGACAGATGCATCTGGGGACTCCGCCTTACATTCATTCTAGGATCTGTCGCTATCAGGTTGTGTATTCAGCAAGTGACCAAGTACTGTATCAAGTGTTTAGTTTCATCATACAACTTTGATGTCTTGCATAGTGAGCCTGTGCTCTTCAGTGGAGGCTTGTGTGTGGGCATGTTTACACTATCTTGCAGTTCTCTCAAGCATTTACTGGTTGACCTTGGGTTGGAGTTGGACACTGGGGGTGGTGCTTTGCTGTGTTTTTCTTTTTTCTCGCATAGAGCTCGGATCTCAACCTGCACTCCACTGATGCTTTGCCCAAGGGAGTGATTAAATAGTTTAAAATACAAAATAAGGCTTTGAGTGTTGGTGAAAAGCTTCTTACTGAGCAAGCTTCCCTTTTTTTACAAGACTTATCCAGTGATGGTGGGCTGGGGTAATTGCCAGGTAGCCAGCTTGGTTTTGTATGGCAGATGGTTTCTTCGGCTTGGAGGGGGTATTTTGAGTGTATCTGAATGAGCCTTCACATGACCATTCTGGGATAATTTGAGAGTTTTCAACAATACCATTTCCTCATTCATGGTTTAGCAGGTGTGGCTTTAAGAGGTTGTTGATGTGTCTGGAACTTCAATTGTACTGCTCAGGCTGAAAAGTGGTTATGTACTGCAAAGGGATACGAGGATAAGGAGCTGGGATAAAATAGAGAAGGATTTTTTTTACCACAATTTATACTCTAAGCTCAATTACTATTAAGTTTGTCTGTTTTTTTCCCCCCTCACCTTGCCCGAAATGCTATGCATATTAGTGGCTTTAGGTATTGTATGTACTAGCTCTATCTTTAAATCCAACATTATGTTTGTTACTCATCTTCAATGTATGTACCTTTACCTGAATAAAAAATCTAAATGTAAATCTAAATTGAATGGTAGCCAACCACTTGGTTCATCGGGGATTGAATACCAACCTGCAAGAAGTGAAACCTTAACTGTACTGAAGAGTCCAAAAGATGGATGGACTGGGACAAGCTAGTCAGTGTTTGAGGGTGTGAACGAGTGGTTTGCTCAGAAAGGTTTTTTTCAACTGTATTTAATGTTATTTAATTGTTAAAGAAATGACTTTAATTGTATTAATTGGATTTTCAGGAATGTATCATCACAGCATTAAGATCTGGTAACAAAGAGTGTCCAACTTGCCGAAAAAAACTAGTATCCAAGAGGTCATTACGACCTGATCCAAATTTTGACACACTGATTTCCAAGATTTACCCTAGTCGTGATGAATATGAGCAGCATCAAGAACGAGTGTTTGCCAAGCTCAATAAAAATCATAATCATGCTTCTCTGATTACGTCAATTGAAGAGGGCATCAAACTTCAGATCCAGAGTCGGCAGAAAAATCGTAAAGCCATGCAAGATGAAGGCACTACTCCTACGCCCACTCCATCAGCGCCCTCTACGCCTACCCCCAGTGAGCCCCCGAGTACTCCGACTACTACTAATACTAGTAGTGCCAATGCCACGACTCCCACAAGTGCTGCAGCCACTACAAATACCACCACTCCAACAAATGCAGCGTCTTCAACAATAGGGCCAAGGATGAAGAAACCACGAAGAACATCTGAAAATGAATCGGGAGCAGGGTCCAGTAATGATGGCAACCCAGGTGAAGAGGCAGAAGGCCCTAGTGAATCTGGTGAGATTGAACTAGTGTTCAGACCACATCCTCTTGAGATGAACGAGGACAATGAGCTTATTAGAGAACTAAAGGATTCTTCCATACGCTACATTAAAACAACCGCAAATGCAACTAGTAAGTATGAATCAATTACAGTATGAGAAAATATTGAGGCCATACAATGGGACTGAACCCATGTCCAGGATGACTTCCTAAATACTTCACTACTGACTAGACTATTGCACAGCCTTAATATTTTCTCATAGATTCATCATGTTTTTGAGATTTCATTATGCATGGATAAATTATAGTCAAGTCCTACATTACTGTCCGTTCTTGATAATCCAAATTATATGGGGCCCACCCTTCATTTGAGTTAGCTGATTTTTTTTACCCGGAATGTTCAAATATGGAAAATATTAAACTTATTCAGGTTTTAATTTTGCAAAAGTCTTGCCAACCTAAATTTTATTCGAATTGGAAGGAAATAAACTCGAACTTAAATTTAAGATTTTTTTTGGGTGTTGAGGGGGAAGGGGGGGAAGGTAGAATTCTCAGTAATCCAAATTCCTATTCGTCTTAAAAGGTAAAAAAACTCAAATGTGAATTAATTCAGGTTACTAGGAGATCCAGGTTACAGGAATTCAAATTACTGAGCTCTTACAGTACCTCTAAAAATGTATAGATTTGCTGTTAAGTTTTACGTTATACATTGGTACCTTGGTTTGCGACTGCCCAAGATTATGATATTTTTGGTATACGACGTCAAATTAATTGTAAAATTTGAATTGGTGTACGACGTTTGCTTTGGAACATAATTCGTCTGTTGATACTTGTACGGGTCGAGCGAGCGCATGATTCCGTTGGGCATGTCGTGGGCGAGGCACGCTCGGTGTTTACCAGTGTCTCCCGCCTAGTGACGACCCTGCTCGAACTGTGTGTAAAGAATTTCAATGTTTTTCAGCTTTTTATGGTTTCTGAACATAAAGTTCTTATTATATATCATGCCATGGGTCCCAAGAAAGTCAACGGTAAAGTTCAACCTAAGAAAATTGTTGAGGATGATAGAGGATAAACAAGAGATAAACAAGTCTCACTACAGACAAGTGTTATGACATAGGGAAAAACAAGTGTCTATAGAGAGGTTCTTAGTGAGACAAACAAGCAGTGAGAGACAACTAGGTTCTAGTGGTATGCCTGCAAAACCTACGAGAAAGAGTACCCCAGGCATCATCAGGGAACATCAGACATCAGAGCCTGATGTTATAATGGAAGGGGACTTCCCTTCCAAACACTAACACCTCTCCTCCCTCTTCACCGACTTCCATTCCCCAACATGAGTCCTCAATAAAGGTAAGGTACCTGTACTGTACTGTATAGGAAAAAATCTGAGTAGTTTTCTGTATAAAAAGTATTTTTAAGTTATTATTTTTTGGGTGTGTGGAACGGATTAATTAAATTTACATTATTTCTTGTGGGAAAATTCATTTTAGTTTATGATTTTTTGGTGTACGACACATCTCTTGAAATTGATTAAAATCGTAAACGACGGTACCACTGTATATATAGTTTATTGGTTTGTTATAATTGTTTATTGTTAACATTGCATTTTTAATTTTTAAAATTATCTTTTTTTTTCTGAGGGGAGTCCCTATGGCTACTTGGAGCTATCAGGCAAATGTGTGATATATTAGACCGGGGCATTAATCTATGGAGTTCAGCCTACTGGGGACCACGAGCCGGAACCTTGCCCCCTCAGAGAGGTTTCAGGGAGCAATGGGCCTTGAAAATTCCCCCTGTATTTGGGGGTTTTTCCTTATCTACCATCGACCAGGTTAGGCATCCAGTAAGGTAGGCATAACAAACAAACCCCACATGGTAAGAAAAGTGCAAAAAAAAAAAGAAAAGTGAGGCAGAACTCCCTCCAATCCCAAGGAAACAAGCAAACGTCTTACACTCCACTGCTGCGCCGCTCATCCGTGCAACCCTCCCCGCGCCGGCTTTCTAGCACTTTAGTTCGTTCGCTAATGTGGTCCGGGCGGACGTCTTCTCTGGCGTCGGTTTCCTATGCAGTGTTTTGCCTTCGTGACGACCTCTGCAGTGTTGTTGTTGTTGTGTGGTGGCCAGGTGTCCTCATCAGTGCCAGGGTTGCAATCACTTAGGGGCATCCTTTCCTAGGCGCCCTGTTAATACTATCCTTGCGAGTTAGGGGTTCCCTTTCCTGGTGCCTTCAGGAAACCATTTCCATAGGGGTTTTTGCTGCTTGGCATTTACCCCGCCCTTGAGGCCAGCGGGGGTTTTGTGGCCCTTGTTTGGCTTTGGGTAGGGAGTGGCATCATGCTGGTTGGGGTGTCAAGGTGTTGTGCTGCCTGCCTACCTATGCGGCGGCCAGTTTCTGTTTCCTCTGGGGACATTGTACTTTTGCAGGGTTTTTCTTTAGTTTTTGTTCTTTTTGCCTGGTGGGGGTCTGCCTAGTGTGGTTATAGTTCTACTTATTTTATTTTGGTGGCCCCTCTGCTAGGCCCCCATGATTGTACACGTCACAGGGGTTTCAGTGTTTTGATCTCCCTTTGTTAGCTTTGGGTCTTAACCGGTTAACAACACCTTATCTTGAGGTCATCTTGAGATGATTTCGTGGCTTAGCGCCCCTGTGGCCCGGTCCTTGACCAGGCCTCCTTTTTGTTACACATTCCCCAGGAAGCAGCCCATAGCAGCTGTCTAACTCCCAGGTACTGTACCTATTTACTGCTAGGTAATAGGTACATCAGGGTGAAAGAAACATTTTTGCCCATTTGTCTCCGCCTCCACCGGGGATCGAACCTGGAACCTCAGCACTACGAATCTGAAGCGCTGTCCACCCAGCTGTTAGGTGCCCTGGCCCGGACTTCCTGTAGCAGTCAGCCTACAGGCCCTGAAAAACTCTGTCGGGGCTCGGTGGACCTATGGCTGCGTCTTCCGAGTTCCAGCCTGCCTCATGCAGGTTCGAAAGTTGCTGTGTGCCCTTGTCTCAGGGTGACAGTCACCTCTTTTGCCTCTGTTATGCTGCCTGTTGGATCAACGACACCATTCACCCGGAGTCTTGAGAGTCGTGTTCTCTGTTTGTTCTCCAGTACTATTCTGATGACATTACATGCAGCATCCACGTTGCATGCTAGCTTTAGGTTGCTGCAACGCACTAGATTGGTTTCTCACTCGGATGCCCCGTGGCTGCCCCTTTGGTTATAGGGACCCGGACCTGGGGGCATTAGTCACTCTGACTTTGGTTCAGTCCATGCTCCCTGGTCCTTTCCTTGTTGTTCACCCTGCATCCTCCCCCCCCCCACCCCCACCCCGCTTCTGGCTCCCAACCGCCTGAGGTTTACGGAGTCGGAGCAGGATTTAGTTGGTAATGAGACTCGGGCAGCTTCAGGGATTGCCCTGTTCGGGTTGGGGATGGAGGCATTCGAGCCGGTTCCTTCTACCGAGGCTTCTGGGTCCCACCAGCAGGCCGTCTTTTTTGTCAGCCTTTTCCATGGACTCAGCTTTTTCTTCAGGGGTAGAGGGTATGGACGACTGCTCTGCCCCAGTTCCCGGCTTGGGAGATCCCGGGGCTGGGGAGGAGTCGATCTGGGGGCCTTGGGGCCTCCTTTGACCCCACTTGGGTGGTGGTGCCCTCTTTGTGGGGCTTGTAGTTGCAGGGGGAGGGGTTTTCTTAACCCTTTTCCCTGTATAAGTATGATTTGGGGTTGGCTCCTCCTCGGGTTTGGTTACAGGCTCCCTTGGGTTCCTCGGCCCTATCCTTCCGGAGGTTTTCTGGGGAGTTCTACCTGCTTGTTTGGCTTTTGGTTTGCAAATTTTAACCAGCTGTAGTTTTTGGTATTCCTACCTTTCTGGGTACCTGACCTGGTAGATGGCAGACATAGACTGCTTCCAACTACATGGGGGTGTCTGTAGGCCATTGCTCCTCTTGCCTCTCTAAGGGGGGTCCAGGTTCTGGCTCATGGTCTCCACTAGGCTAAGAACTCCATCGATTGACTGTTACCATGGTCTAATATATACACAGTAGCCCGGTGTAGCTCTGGGAAGCCTCTAGGTCTCACCCAGAAAATTGCATTTCATTACAATCATTGCTATTTTTTTGGCATTTTCCTTTCTTATTTTTGTGCCTACCACTTTTGTTTCTGCTCCCAATTTTTGTTTCATACATTTATACCAAGACAGTCCCTGTCATATGTTGATTTATTCCACGACAGTCCCTTTCTCATGTTGATTTATACCAAGACAGGCCCTTTCACAAGTTGATTTATTCTAAGACAGTACCTTTCACATGTTGGTTTATGCCTAGACAGTACCTTTCACATGTTGATTTATGCCAAGATAGTCCTTTCACATGTCACATGTTGATATATGCCAAGGCTGTCCCTTTCACAGTTTTTATTTTGTTAAAAAATATCAGTTATATCCCAGTTTTGATAAGCAGACCAGTCTGCTAAAAAGTTCATCGCCATTTTTACAACTTATTACCAGTACATATTCTTGTAGCTTATTAATGGCAGGCAAACCGCAGAAGTTTCCTTTGAAGTTGTTAGTTTAGTTATTTCTTGTATATATTTTGTCTAATGATTTATTCTTTTTTGGGTATTCAATTCATGTAGAATTGTCTCAAACTGTTTGAAGTCCTCAGTTATTGAGCACTTTTAGAGCAACATTTTAATCATGCTTGATACTCCCATCTTCACAAAGGTGATGCTGTTGTCACTCCCATACTAAGAATGGTTATATTTAGTCCTTGTACTGTATTTCTTTCCTTAGACTATACTGTTCTTATCTGAATTCGAACTCCTCACAGCTATGTACTTATGTAAGCTTCCTTCTACAATTTAAATAATCCTGGTTTCATTTTATTTCCTATACCTTGTTTATGCTCTTGTATTTAAGAAGCTAACTTTTCTACTGCATCCTTTTTTTTTCTCAGGTAAGTAGTGTGGGTTGCCCCAAAAGTACCCATCAGAAAGAGGCATTTCATTACATTTAAAGCTGGACTTGTGATGATCTGTTTATTAGGATTACTATCGTATATTAAAATTAATTTGTTTATTTTCAGTTGATCACTTATCCAAGTATCTTGCCATGAGACTTACTTTGGCAAACCGAACAGGAGAACTAGAGACGGAACTTCCTTCATCCCTCAATAACTTCTGTATATACATTGCACCAACACCAGATCAGTACATCGTTGTCGTTGGCTCGCTTACGTTAGAGCAAATAAATGAGAAATACTGGAGAGTAAACAAACCTATGGAAATGTTTTACTCATGGAAGAAAAATTAGAGATGAAAAGGACTTCAGAAAAAAAATATATCCAAGATATTTCTTGCAAGACTTGTGGCACGAATGTTCCGGAGATCAAAAGTGTGCTCGGAGAGTTAAAAATCTAAAGTCTGCCAAATATATCTAATTGTTGTTTTTGGGCTGCTGTTAGGTATTGACATTATAAACTTTAGATTCTGACAAATCCTTGATCAAAAATAATGTACATAGCAAATTTTTACCTTTTATTTTAGGATTAACACTCCTTCGTACAACTTGGAATGATGAAAAGTGTATACAGTACATGCCTGTGTAAAACACACATGTTGGTTATATACATATACAGTACATGGATACAGCATATATGTGTGTGTGTGTGTGTGTGTGTGTGTGTGTGTGTGTGTGTGTGTGTGTATATATATATATATATATATATATATATATATATATATATATATATATATATATATATATATATATATATATATATATATATATATATATATATATATATATATATATATATATGTCGTACCTAGTAGCCAGAACTCACTTCTCAGCCTACTATTCAAGGCCCGATTTGCCTAATAAGCCAAGTTTTCCTGAATTATTATATTTACTATAATTTTTTTCTTATGAAATGATAAAGCAACCCTTTTCTCTATGTATGAGGTCAATTTTTTTTTATTAGAGTTAAAATTAACGTAGATATATGACCGAACCTAACCAACCCTACCTAACCTAACCTAACCTATATTTATAGGAAAGGTTAGGTTAGGTAGCCAAAAAAGCTAGGTTAGGTTAGGTTAGGTAGGTTAGGTAGAAAAAAATTTGAGAAAAAACATTAATTCATGAAAACTTGGCTTATTAGGCAAATCGGGCCTTGAATAGTAGGCTGAGAAGTGCGTTCTGGCTATTAGGTACGACATATATATATATATATATATATATATATATATATATATATATATATATATATATATATATATATATATATATATATATATATATATATATATATATATATATATATACACACACACACACACACACACACACACACACACACACACACACACACACACACACACACACACACACACACACACACACACACACACACACACACACACACACATATGGACAATTTTACATATTCAGTACAAGTTACGGCTTAGTGAAACTGCACGCCAAAGACGGTCATAAGGTTCAAGTTCAAGTCTTGGTTCAAGTTATGATCTGAATGGTAATTATATAACAGCTGGCAGTATAATGAATTTGTTATGGCATTTGTTAAGCTGTAGCAGATAACACCAGTGTGTTTTTGTTCAGCTGGAGTGAAACCATATAGTATCAGATTCATCGGATACCACATGGCTTCACTCCAGCTTGAAGCACACTTTTTTTTCATCCTGTGGAATCTGTATGGTGGAACATGGCTTCTCATCCGCTAGACTGTAGTGCAGTGTCAGTCCACAGTGAAATGGTCCCCAGGTTCAATTCCTGTTTTACAGAGAGACATTTGGGCACATTTTCTTACAATTGATGACTGGGTTCATTTAACAGTAAATGGGTAACTGGGAGTTGGGTAACTGTTGTGGGTTGCATCTTAGGGAAGATCAGTCGGTGATGTAGAGGAACCTCGATAGGACTAACAGGCTTCTAGTTCCTGACAAGAGAAAACCAAACCATCATTGTTTAACTTTTGCTCCTTTGCATACTCTTGGGCTGGACGGTAGAGTGACGGTCTCGCTTCATGCAGGTCGGTGTTCAATTCACGACCGCACAAAAGGCTGGGCATTCCTTTCCTTCATCCCATCCCAAATCCTTATCCTGATGCCTTCCCAGTGCTATATAGTTGTAATGGCTTGGCACTTTACTCTGATAGCTCCCTTCCCTTCCCTCCTTTGCATACATCTTAATAAAAAACAAACAAATTTTAATTGGATTGTTAATTTTGCCTTTTGTAGTTTCCAGAGTTTGTCACATATGTGGCAACATAGTCATACAGCTACCTTTTGTTGCCATAAGATCCACATTGAGAAGATGCTGTAGGAGAAATTATTTACACTTAAAGACGAAACATTAATGTTGAGTAAATTACTACAAAAATCGTGTTATAGTTCAGTACTGTATTCACAATTTAAATGTTTTACTACAAATCATGACTTAGTTTCTAGTTCCTCCACTAAAATCTGAAAATACTATATTACTGCCATTGAAGGCATCGTCTGATTATACTCCTCAGCAAATAGCATCAAGTCAATAGACCTACATTGAAAACGTTGACGCAACATTGATTAAATGTTAATGGAGCATGTTTAGCCCACTAGGCAAGGTCATTAGAGTTAATGGATGTGTTGACTTTTGTACCCATCTTGGTTTCCTCTGTAATTCACAAGTTCAGTTGTAATCGACAATGTTACGCATTACAATATCATTATTGTATGGAAGAGGTTGGTGTTATGGTTTTTGGTTAGCGTGCAGAGTAACTAGCACAAGCTGTGCTTTCTTTTGTTATCATTCAAAAGAAAGATTAATAAACTTCCGTGATTGTTTGCTATCTCTGAATTCCCTCCTTAACTGTGTTAAGAAGTCTGTTGTGATATCTTTACTCTTTAGATCATTGAGGATTAGTGTAGTGGAAGAATAAATCACAGTACAGTGCTATGAAAGCTTAGAATATATTAATGCAGCAAGTGAAAATTCGTGGATAAATTTGAAATCAAGAAGAAATAAATTTTGATTGAAGGATGTAAACATGCATGTTTAACTGGGAAAAATAAATAATTATGGCGTTATCTCAAGGTTAGCTATATAATAATTAGGCATGCAGTAAATTAGGTGGTTCTCCTTGATGTATTTTAAGCTCTTTTGCTGTTCCCCGAGTCATACAGTATACAGTATCGATAAAATCCTTGGTGAATCTGAGATCTTTGACATCACTTGTTCTATGACTTCCTCCTCTCATATGGGCATCCTGAATGGTATATAAATACAATTAGTACTGTATTTGACAAAATACAGTACATCAAATTAATGAATGATGTATCTCTTGATAATTTGCATATTTGAAAGTTAAAAGAAGTACAGTACCATATAGTGTATTTAAAACTTAATTAAAACTAATGTATGTTTTATAGTACTGTATTAATAAATGATATTGATGATATGATATACAGTGGAACCATGACTTACGAATGCCCCTACTTATGTATTTTTCGTGTTACGACCCCAATTTCGTCTGAAAATTCGACTCTTCTTGCAACCTTTTTGGTACCCATATGGGTTGACGGAGTGCATGGTTCCTGGTGGCACAGGCGACTCCGCTTCAGTTTACCAGACCACCCGCTTAGTGACGATTGTGCTTGAATTCTTTGTAAAGAATTTCATTGTTTTTCAGCTTTATTGTTTTCTAAATATAAAATTATTATATACCACACCATGGGGTTCCTCAAGAATTATGAAGTGGTGTGCAGTATGGGAAGAAATGCAAAGTTTTGTTGAAACAACTCGTCCAAATCAAGCTGCAGTAGGCCGTTGCCTTAATCTTTTCAATGATACTGTGATGCCTCACTACAGACAAATGTTAAAACATAGGGAAAAACAAATCTGTGGAAAGGTTCTTAATGAGAAAAACAAGTCAGGTCTTAGTGGTATGCAGGCAAAGTGTAGGAGAAAGAGTATCCCAGAGAAGTCTTCACACTGATGTTATAATGGAAGGAGACTTATTTGGAAGGGGGCTCCCCCTTCCAAACAGTAACACCTCTCCTCCTCTCCCCCCTCCTCCACCATCTTCCATACGCCAACAAGAATGTCATCATACGTCATCAATAATGGTAAGCTATAACTTGTACATACTATAGTACAAAATATGTGTGTATTATGTATGAAATATATTTTGAAGTTAATATTTTTGGGAGTGGAACAAATGAATTAAATTTACATTATTTCTTATGGGATAGTTCATTTCAAATTACAAATTTTTGAGTTACGACCAGTCTCTGGGAACGGATTAAATTCGTAAATGGAGGGGCCGCTGTACATCCTCCTCGGGTTACAAGGATAGATACAAGGTTACTGGGGTTAAATCTCTGGTCAGGACTGAAATGGGTTACCTATTTTGTGTTTAGTTGTTCATTCATGTATTAACTCTAGTTATTCATTCATGTCTTCTGTCGATATACTTTTTAGTTGTTCATTAATGTCTTCTACCAATATACAGTACTTTCTTTTAGTTGTTCAATCATGTCCTCTACTAGTATACCTTCTTCTAGTTATTCATTTGTATACCTCTACTACTCCACTTTGTTCTTGTTGTTCATTCATATCGTCTATACCAATACATGTATGCTTCTTCTAGCTGTTCATTCGTGTCCTCTGCCAATATATTTCCTTCTAATTGTTCATTCATGTGTGCACTTACTAGTGTGTTATTTACTGTTTATTTGCAAGTCAGAACATTCAGCCACGAGGGCTTTTTCTACCTTCTGTAGGAGAAATATTTCTGCAGTCTCCAAGAAGATCGTGTCATCTTCACAGATCCAGTAGAGTGGCAATTCTGTGTTTCACCTGATGTGCCTGTTCCCCTACTGTTAATATAGGTACCAAAGAGATAGGCAACTGTTGTGGGTTGTATCCTGGGGAAGGTCACTAGTTGACCTAGAAGACCTGAATAAGCCTTCGTACAGGGTTCCTGCCTCTGGCAATGGGAATGATGCTGGAAAGACCATGTCACATGTTCTTACTACAGATATAGGCAAAAATACAAAAATAATTTTCCTAGTTTTTTATAGACCAACGAAAAGTATGTGCCTGAAACTGAAGTGCCATAGCCAAAGGCCCAATATATCTATCTTATATATAAGAAAATGGCTGTTTAAGGTTTGAGACCAGATGCTCTGGGCTAGCCTCACCCATCTTTTTGGGGGATGACACATGGGTGGTAGAGCATTTTAATAGGTTGGGGGTTGGCACTATTTCCATCTTTTCAGGATTAACTTCTACTGTAAATCCCACAGATGCCTAATTACAACATGTCTCATTAAAATAACAAGAATTAAACATAATGTGATTTTGTTGTGTTGAGATTATATGTTCTGAGAGAGTGAGGGTAGGAAGTGGCAGAGGAATAAAGGCTGGAGAGGAAGAGGGGGCGGATAGAGAATTGATAGAAAGTAAAAGAAAGAGAGAGAAAGACTGACAAATAGACAGACATACAGAGTCGGGGAGGGAGAGCGATAGGGGGCAGAAGAGAGAAATATTAACCAAATATTTGTAGATTCAGGTAAATTCAGGCAAATATATATGAGGGTCACCGTAGTACAGTCGGGTTCGTTGTCGACGCGCAATCGAAAATTCCAGATTCGAAAAGACGGAAATAGTTGGGTACATTTCCTTTCACCTAATGCACCTGTTCACCTAGCAGTTTGCAGATACTCAAGAGTTAGTCAGCTTGTTGTGGAGTTGCATCTTGGGCGGGGTCAGTAATTTGACCCTTTGGGGGGGGGAGGACCTCAATATAAGCCTAATGTGTATGAATATACGCTGGCTTCCTGTCCCCCGACACAGTTAATTATTTACCTGAATTTACCCGAGTCACTAACACTCTAGTGGCCTCAACGAGGACACGAAGTCAGTAACTTGTCAATGGTCCACCCCCCCTATTTGTCTTGATGATTTTTTTCAAACTGGATTTTAAAGTTCAATAGTTTGGCATTTACGGCTTCAACGGGTAGGCGGTTCCATGGGTTAATAACCCTGTGGGTGAAAATATAAAAATCTGTTCTCAGTTCTACATTGTGGCTTGTTGAGCTTAAAACCATTGCTTCTTGTTTGTGTTTTTTATGACCTTTTGAAGACATTCTCTGGATCAACATCTTCCAAATTGTCAAATTGTTGAGCAATTTAAAGGTTTTGTGTAGTACTTTGGTCGGTTGGTCATTGTAACGAATACGCCCCACAACTGACCGAAGGGTACCCTTCAATTACTCATTTTAGCTTAAATAAGAACAAAAAACTCATTTTATTAAGTGTATAAGTTGTTGCTAAATAAATTGATAAAGGTGGTAACTGAATGCTTAGGTATTATTATTATTATTATTATGATCTCTGACGTAAACAAACGCTGAGTTGTGTCCGAAATACACTAAATTGCCTCGACAACTCCAGCTGCAGTACTCGGGAGATTTAAGGAATATATATACATTGCTTATAATATTCTTATACTTGGAAAACACACTACTTATCCATTCAAGCATAAATAAATATTCTTAATTAGAACATCCCTTATCAGAGAGAAAATAGTGTTTGTTATTAGTGTTCGTACATGTTTGGCGCGAAGAGAAAACAAGAGAACACTTGAGGTACTTCCCGAGTGGTGAGGTACTCTTGCTCTCGGTACTCTAGTACCCCTGGTACTCTCGGGGGTCCCTCCTCACAGGAAGGTGTCGGTGCATCTCAGGGGGGAATATGTGAGGGAGAGATAGAAGCCGGCGTGTAGAGGTGAGGTAACATTGCTAGTGAGTGTTGGTAAGGGGAGGAGGGAAGCTTTTAAGGTCGTATCTGTCACTCTGATGACGCATTAGTCAGGAAAATGGCCATAAATATCAATAGTTGTCAGGTATGTTGGGAGTGCCTTTGTTACTATAATTGTAGAAGCAACATTACCTATAGGGGTCTCGCCCAGCTGGTTAGGACCGAGCATGGTTGGATATACGTCATTTTTATACATAAGATTTTTACCTGAATTTACCTGAAAGCCACCATTTCTCTAGTGGCTTCGATTTGGACAGAAGGTCGTCGGCTTGACATAAGTCTAACATTATACTGTATATATATATATACACATATACATACATACTGGCTGTCTGTCTGTCTGTCCCACAACACAATGAATTATTAATTAATTACTATAGTGTGGCATAACCTAGCTCAGCCTAACCTAACGACATACACAGTTTTAAGAGTTGGTAGCCATCAATCTTAGGTGGTCGCCTTTAACACCAATATTAAGAAAAGGCCACATTGGGAAAAGGCACAATTTTTTTTTCAGAATTATAAACCATTGACCAAATAATGTATGATGTATGTTAGATGTAGGTCTATGGGGTAAAGCACCATTTTGATACGGTAGAAAATTAGTGTTAAGAATAAGAATAATTAGAATAATTTTTATTTAGGCAAAGGTACATACATAAATAAAAATTATTCTAATTATTCTTATTCTTAACACTAATTTTCTACCGTATCAAAATGGTGCTTTACCCCATAGACCTACATGGGGTTGTAATTAGCTTTATACAAGTGCTTGGGTAATCATAAATATTTTTATGTTTTTGAGTGGCCTATCTCGATTCACTATGAAGGCCTGTATTCCGCATATCCATAACCCTTGGATTATTGAGGAGGATTTATAATTTGGAAACTTATGTACTCTAAATTAACCTTCCCTGATTTGCATGCATAGATTTAATTATTTGCTTAACTATTTGGTAATATATTTTTGTAGTTTTAGTGAATGTGTTGTGTCCACGGTGATGGCACACTTGGTGTGGAGTGGAAAATACCCTGTTCATTAGTTATTCCCTGTCCTAAAACATAATAATTGTTTTTTTGGGACAGGAAGCCTGTGCATATATATACTTTAGGCTTATATCGAGGTCCCCCCCCCCTGACAAGGTTAAAGTACAAACCCTCTCCAGGATGCACCCAAACCAAGTCCCAATTAATTAAGTTGACTAATTCTCGGGTACCTATTTACTTCTAGGTGAAAAGAGGCATTAGGTGAAAGGAAACTTGCCCAGCCATATCTCTCACCTGGGGATCAAACTTGGGTTCCTTGATTGCGAGTTGAGAATGAAGCCAACTATGTATGCTACGAGACCATAGTGAAAACAACATTAATTTAACTTTACTGGCAGTGGACAGCAGGGAACTGAATAGAGTCCACGTTTTTTTTTTAATTAATGACAAATATGCATGCTTTCATCAATGCAAAAAATACATATAAACACACAGACTCACTGTAGGTGATTCATAAGGTCATGGTATTTTGGTGTGTTGTATCCACAAGGTGACTGTTTGATCAACTTCTGCAGCTGTCTGGGCTGGTTAGTACATACAGTAGATGCAAACTTGTCGGGCTGCGTACAAATTGAGGAACATGAAATCGGGTATGGTGCCAGTCATTTCTGTGGTCAATAGCAACTTGTAATCTTGCACCAATCTGCTTTCATTTTCCCCAGAACCTGGTACTTGACACAGCCCTTTGCTCATTATGATTAACTAGGTGTTTTAAGGGTGAGGCTGGCTGGGGGGCTTTTAAGGGGAACAAAGATGGCTGGGCCAGTTTTAGAGGGAGGGAGGACGAGGGTGGCTGGGTGGGTGGGTTTTGAGGGGAGGCTATTTTTTTAATATTAAGATCTTTAATTTTCAGTATGCGTAGGAATTATCGAGGAGTTGTAAATAATGGACTCGCGACTATTATCCAGCCCTCTTGAAGCAGTGTACAGCACAGGTATGTTACATGACCTTATCATTGTAAAGTGTTGCTTATTGCCTCTTCTTTTGAGTTTTATTAATTTATTTTTTATTCAAAGCTATAGTGATTTATCAGTCTACAGGAGCTGGTGTACAGTATATTTACATTTTATTTTAATAGTTGTATAAAGCTTTAAATAATGATGACTTTCATATCAAAACATTGTAGCAATATATTCCCTGCACATTGTACAGTAATTGCCAGGATATAATATATTCATGCAAGTACAGTAGTACTTCTGGTTGGAAATACCATGTTTTAGACCACCATAGTCCAGTTGGTGGTGTGTGTGTGTGTGTAATTACCTAAGTGTAGTTACAGGATGAGAGTTACGCTTGTGGTGTCCCGTCTTCCCAGCACTCTTTGTCATATAACGCTTTGAAACTACTGACGGTCTTGGCCTCCACCACCTTCTCGCCTAACTTGTTCCAACCGTCTACCAATCTGTTTGTGAAAGTGAATTTTCTTATATTTCTTCGGCATCTGTGTTTAGCTAGTTTAAATCCATGACCTCTTGTTCTTAAAGTTCCGGGTCTCAGGAAATCTTCCCTATCGATTTTATCAATTCCTGTTATTATTTTGTACGTAGTGATCATATCACCTCTTTTTCTTCTGTCTTCTAGTTTTGGCATATTTAATGCCTCTAACCTCTCCTTGTAGCTCTTGCCCTTCAGTTCTGGGAGCCACTTGGTAGCATGTCTTTGCACCTTTTCCAGTTTGTTGCTGTGCTTCTTAAGATATGGACACCACACAGCCGCTGCATATTCAAGCTTTGGCCTAACAAAAGTCGTGAACAATTTCTTTAGTATTTCGCCATCCATGTATTTAAAAGCAATTCTGAAGTTAGAAAGTGTGACATAGGCTCCTCACACAATGTTCTTTATGTGGTCCTCAGGTGATAGTTTTCTATCTAGAACCACCCCTAGATCTCTCTCTTTATTAGAATTCTGTAAGAATTTCTCACATAATTTATAGGTTGTGTGGGGTCTATTTTCACCTATTCCACACTCCATAACATGGCATTTATTCACATTAAATTCCATTTGCCAAGTGGTGCTCCATATACTTATTTTGTCCAGGTCATCTTGAAGGGCATGACAATCATCTAAGTTTCTTATCCTTCCCATTATCTTAGCATCATCAGCAAACATGTTCATATAATTCTGTATTCCAACTGGTAGATCATTTATGTAGACAATGAACATCACTGGTGGAAGAACTGAACCCTGTGGTACTCCACTTGTGATATTTCTTCAGTCCGATACATTGCCTCTGATTACTGCCCTCATTTTTCTATCAGTCAGAAAATTTTTCATCCATGTTAGAAGCTTATCTGTCACCCCTCCAATTTTTCCAGTTTCCAGAACAACCTCTTATGTGGAACTTTGTCGAAAGCCTTTTTTAGGTCCAGATAGATGCAGTCAACCCAACCATCTCTTTCCTGTAAAATCTCTGTGGCTCGATCATAGAAACTGAGTAAATTCGATACACAGGATCTTCCAGATCGAAAACCATACTGTCTGTCTGACATTATATCATTTCTCTCCAGGTGTTCTACCCATTTAGTTTTGATTAGTTTTTCCAATAATTTCACTACAGTATTACACTTGTCAATGATACAGGTCTATAATTGAGGGGGTCTTCCCTGCTGCCACTTTTGTAGATTGGAACTATATTAGCCTGTTTCCACACGTCTGCTACGATTCCTGTACACAGGGATGCCTGAAAGATCAGGTGAAGTGGAATGCTGAGCTCAGATACACATTCTCTCAGAACCCATGGTGAAACTCCATCTGGATCAACTGCTTTGTTCTTACTTAGCTCCTTTAGCATATTTTCCACTTCATCTCTAGACATCTCTATATGCTCTTTGTTCTCTGGAATTCTTACTGTGTCTGGTTCTCTGAAGATCTCATTTTGTACAAACACACTTTGGGACTTTTTGTTTATTGTTTCACACATTTCCTTTTCATTTTCCATGTATCTGTCCCCCATTTTCAACCTCTGAATATTATCCTTTACCTGCAGCTTACTCTTAATGAATTTATAGAAAAGGCCTGGATCTGATTTACATTTGTCTGCTATACCGTTCTCATAGTTTCACTCTGCCTCTCTCCTTACTGACGTGTAATTGTTTATTGCATCTTTGTATCACTGGTATGTTGGGGTCGGGGGGTGTTCAAGAATGCACCGCTGTTATGTTCAAGGTTGTTTGGCCTCTTTCTATAGAGATTCCATGCTTGCGTCTTTTGATCTCTGGCCCTCTCGCAATTTCTGTTGAACCAACCCTGTTTCCTAGGTCTGCATGTCTGTTTTGGTATGAATGTTTGTGTGCCTTCATCATATATTGTGCAAAATTTGGCATACATCTCATTTACTTCCTTGCCTAGCAATAAGTCTGTGCAATTATACCCAAGAAAAAAATTTCTAAGTTCCCCATAGCGTCCTCTCTTGAAATCGAGTTTAACAACTGTTTCACTGTCCCCATTCTCTACTAGATTATATCGCATAGCATATTTAATGTCTAAGAGTACATGATCATATGGTGTGTGTGTGTCTGACAAGTTCAGGGATGTGGGTTTGATCTTATAAAGGCTTAATGTGAGAGAATATCACCTGTATATTGTAACAAGGTGTTTACTTATAGTTTCTACATAGATTAGTGATTTTTTCATTCTAGGGGGAGGCACCTTGTGGCTCCCTGAAGTTACTGTATACTGATGTGGTACCATGTACTAAGCTTCATCAGCTGTGGAGTTCTATAGGCCTACTGGGGACCAGTGCCAGAACCTCGCCCACTCAAAACCATGCAGGGAGCAGTGCAGCGAGTCAAAACAAACAATTGCTGGCTTCAGAGGAGACTGAAGCCTCCAAATCCACAGAAAGAACTCGTTCAACTATGGGCACAAATGATTGAATTATCTTCAAACGAGAGCGAGCTCATTCGTCTTGCCTCCCTTACTCGTTAGGAGGGATATGGGGAAGGTAGCCAACTGCCAGCTGGTGTCCCTTCCAGGTCATCAGAAGCAGATGCCTACATCTGCCCTGGAACTGAGAGTGGATATGATGGCTGGCAGTGGGCTACCTCCACCCCAGAATAAGTGGGGGAAGTGGGGCGAACGAGCTTGTGCTAGTTCCGATAGAATTCAATACTTTGTTTACATAGTTGGGCAAATTCTTTCGGTGGGGTTCGAGGCTTGTTTTCATTGAAGCCAGCAGTAATTTGTTTTCACTCGCTGACTTTCTGGTTGTTTTCCCAGTGAGGTGGCAGTAATATAAATGTCTATTCTTCCTGGTCCGTGGTAGGCCTATAGAACTCCATGGCTGATGCGACCTAGTAGATGGTACCATAGCTGTATATAATAGCTTCAGGGATCCACTGGGGCTCGCCCAGAAATTGGTGCCTCATTACATTCGATGCTGGTTTTTTGTTCCCAAATGTTTGGTACTCATTCCATGTTTGGACAACTTCTTTTTCTTTAATTCTGAATGTTTCCACTTATGAATGGTGCTGTAATGAAGAATTTACATCCGTATGTATGATAGGAGAATTTCAGAATAGTGTAAAGAATGTAAGGTGAAAGTTTAGCAGCTTTGGATGAAAGTTCAGCAGCACATGTACTGTGTATTGTTCTTTCAATCATTCTCTCTTCTCCTACTTGCTTCCATTTTATTTATTTATTTATTTATTTATTTATTTATGCATATACAAGAATGTACATAAGGAATGTGAGGATACAAATAAGGTAATTACAGTCTTGTAAAGCCACTAGCACGCGCAGCGTTTCGGGCAGTTCCTTCCTCTTCCACCTGTACTTTATGTAGTCCCTCTGTAATCAATGCCACAGCCTGTACTCCTTGTAGCAGGCTGTACTTTTATTGCCCTGTTTGTGGCATGGAGTATGAAGGTGTAGGAATCATTCTCATGTGGTCAAGCCACATTTAATTTTATAATAAAAATTGTATTTATAAAAAAAGTGATGTGTGATTAGTAGTGTTGGCCATCTTTTATTGTACTCTTAAGACGTGATCTTATGTTATGGTTCTTTACAATTATCTGTGGCATTTACAGTGGTATAAGACAAAAAATAATTTTCGAGGATTTTTTGTGCAAAAAAGTTTTTCGTTATGTGTTTATTAATAAATTAACGTTCAAACAGGTTTGTGGGTGAAAGCGCTTTGTGCATGCAAATATAATATATATGCTCAGTTGGTTGTGGGCCGAAAACATTCATCCTATCTACTGGCAAATATGGTAGTTTTAGTATGTAGCTTTTGTATTTCATATACAGTACTGTACGTTTTTCTTCTTCACACAGGTAATGAAAAAGACAAAATTGCACTTCTCCAGGACTCGGTGCCGCAGTTAGAATCGCTTTTCAATATTAGTCATTGTATTGGACATGGCACCTTCAGCTCGGTGTACTTGGCTCGCACCAAACACACCACAACCATCAATGGCCGTCGCCATTTTGCCATTAAGCACATCATCCCGACCTCTCATCCGTCACGTGTATACATGGAACTAAAGTGCCTCAGAATGATTGGGTAAGTGAATGTTTTCAAAATAAAATACTTCATATATAATTTCTACATACTGGTGAAAATGTATTTATTGTGCATAGTTTGGTGTGAGCATAGCTGTTTGAGTGCCAGTGTGCTCCTAAGGTGTTTGTTCTCCTAAGCCTAACAGGAAACACATTCATTCATTTTGAAAAGCAAATTTTTTCTGTGGAGAGCCCCCTTTGGCTCCCCAGAGCTATACCGGGCTGATGTGTATATATTAGACTGTGGCAACAGTCAGTCGATGTTGTTCTAGGCCTACTGGGAACCATGAGCCAGAACCTGGCCCCCCCTCAGAGAGGCACGAGGAGCAAAGGCCTATAGAAACCCCCGTGTGGTAGAGAGCATTCTTTGTCTGCCATCGACCAGGACAGGCACCCAGAAAGGTAAGCGCCCCAAAACAAACCCCTATTCTTGTGAAAATATTGCTACTGAAAGATGAACGAGTGGACAGAACTCCCCAAACAAAATAAAATTATCAAGCTATCATGACGTCGTCATGTGGATGCGTCGCTGTCTGGGCAACCCCCTCTCCCTGGGAAGGGGGAGCCCCAGTCCATCCGCGCTGGCGATACAACCGGCAGTTCTTGGCTGATGTGATTACTGGCCGGTAGAGTGCCTCTGGTTCTGGTTTTGTTTGTTCTGTACCTTGTGGTGTGGGCTGTCTCTACAGGTGCGGTGTGAGCCAGGAGTGAGATTCCATGGTACTCGAGCTGCATGCACCTAGGGCTCTCTTCCCTAGGTGCCCTATAAGTACTGCCCTTGGGGGCCACCTTCCACAAGTCACCTTGGGATCTACCTCAGCTGTGTCCTTTACTGCTCGGTACTTGGCAGCCCTTGGGGTCAGCTGGGGTTTTGTTGGCCTTGTTTGTCTCTGGGTAGGTGGTAGTTTTTGTCACTAGTAGGGGCGCTGGGTACTGCACAGCTAGTTTTCACCTATAACAGTGGCCAGCTCTGTTCCGCCTGGGTACGTTGTCCTCTTGCGGGGTTTTTGTTTTTGTTTTTGCCTGGTGGGGGGTTCTGCCTTTGTGGTCCCCCTTAGCTGTTCTAGGGGTTTTTCTATATATGTTTTCTGTTTGGTGGTGTTCCCCGCTTGGCCCCTGTGAGTGGTCACGTCCTGGGGGTTCAGCTTTTAGAAGTTTGTTTGGTAGACTTGGGCGCCAATTCGCAGTACCCTGCCTGAGCTTCCCTTAATGTGTTATCAAGGCTAAGGGAAACCCCGCGGGGGGCTCTGTGGTCCGATGGATGTGGCCCCTGCGTCCCCCCTTATGTCTTGTGAGTTTGAAGGTTGCTCTGTCCCCATGCCTCAGGGTGACACTCGCCTGTTTTGCTTCTGCCTTGCTGCCTGTTGTGTTGTTGGATTTTGACCCGGAGACGTGCGACAGGTGTTGTCGTACGTGCTCTCATTCACCCGGGCCACTGGTCATGAAAAGCGGATGCAGGCGGCTGTGCCGTTGCATGCTAGGTTTAGGTTGCTGCAAGGCTCTTGGTTGGTTGTGGCCCCGGATGCCCTGAGACTGCCTCGTTTTTGTTGTTGGGGTCCAGACTTGAGAGTGGGGGTCGCTTCGGCTCTGGTTCCTTCTGCTCCTCCTAGTCCTTTCCCTTCTGTTGTGCATACTTCCTTCCCTTTCTTCCGGCTCCGAGCTGTAGGCGGGTTTTAGGGTTGGAGCAGGGTCTGGTTAGGTTGAGACTCGGGCGGTCTAAGGGGTTTTCCTCATCCGGGATGGCGGCGGAGGCATTCGAGCCTGTTCCTCCAGCCGTGCCGTATGGGTCTGACCAGTGGGCTCCCTTCCTTAGAGTTTTGCATGGCTGCCCCGGCTTTTCCTTGTGAGGCTGGGACTTTGGGGGTTACAGCTCGGCCCCGGGTCTTGCCGTTGAGGTTCTCGAGGTTGGGGAGGGGATGCCTGGGGAGGGCCTCGGCCCCATTTTGTCCCTGCTTGGGTCTTTGTACCCTCAGTGCTGGGCTTGCAGTTCCTCAGAGTGGGAGTTTTTCCTCCCCCCTCTGCATTCGTGTTGGTTTCGGGTCTTCCCCCTCCCTGGGTTCGATTCCATGTCCCTTCGGGTCTGTCGGTCTCGTCATTCCTGGGGGTGTGTTTTTTGCACTTCTGTCACGATACTGTTCGCTTCGTATCGGGGTGCCCTGCATGTCCCTTGATCAGGGGTGTCTTTTTGTCCATATGTACCTCCGTGCGTTTGTGCTTGCTTGTCGTGGTTCTCGTTGGTTCGCGAACCTCTATGTACCTTCCAATATTATTGGAATGTCTGTTGACTTCTGGTGAGGTTTCTCTCTGGTCCTTTTTCGGACTCGTTGGTCCCCTTTCGTCATCCTTGTCTTCTTTCGCTTCTCTTTTGCTTTATTTTGTTTTCACATCGTCTCTCCTTCCTGTTTCGACATTCCTCGTATTCGTTATGGACGTCTTGCTGGTGTATGTACGATATGTGTATGTACGATGTGTGTGTATGGTATGTGTATGTACGATGTGTGTGTGTACGATGTGTGTGTGTGTGTACGATGTGTGTGTGTGTGTACGATGTGTGTGTGTACGATGTGTGTGTGTGTGTGTACGATATATGTGTGTGTACGATATGTGTGTGTGTACGATATATGTGTGTGTACGATATGTGTGTGTGTTTGACTGGTGTATGAGCCGCACTGCCCGGTAGACGGGTGGTGTGGTTCGTACCCTGCGCACTGGGGCTGGGGTGTCCGTTTTGTTTTCTTGGCGGTGTACTCGTGTGTTGCTCGTCATTAATCACGGTTTTTCTATGGCTTCTCGCTCGTCTTCTTTCTCCAGTCATAGCCCTCTAGATGCTGAGGGTGTTCTGGATTTTATATGTGGGGATGTCACTTCATTCTTTTCCCTGCTTCCTGGGGTGGGGTGGCTCTGTGTGGTGCCACCTCCACCTCTGTATTGCACCTCGTCTTCTGCTGGGCACACACCTTTGGACATATTTTAACTTTGAATTCATGTTTTTGTTCGGGTAACAGTACATACAATACCTACAGCCTCTTATACGCATACCGTTTTGGGCGAGCCACTGGCGATGCTCCTGTGTGTTACTTGACTCGACTGTATTGTGGCACGGTCGTGTCTCCGCTCTGCATGTGAGATTGTATTGTCTGGCGACTCTGTCGGCCAGGTGCTGGTTCTTGACTTTTGGTGGGGTATTTGCCTAGTTGTACTTGCGGGGGTTGAGCTCTGGCTCTTTGGTCCCGCCTTTCAACTGTCTGTCGACGGGTGTGCAGTTTCCTGAGCCTTCTGGGCTCTATCTTCTCTACAATTGCATTTGTGTGTGGAGTCTGCCTCCACCACATCACTTCCTGGTGCATTTCGTTCCTACCTCCTCTGACATTGATCAGGTTCCTTTTAATGTCTGTGGCTCGTTTGGGTACTCGCCTTCCTCCTGTGTACCCTTGTTCCATGTTTTGGGTTTCCGTGTTTTGTGGGAAATTCTAAGTCTTCTCGAATATGAACAGTATTTGACCATTCCTCAGAAAGCGACCCACAACAGTCGACTAACAACCAAGTTCCTAATTACTGCTAGGTGAACAGAGGCAACGGGTGCAAGGAGACGTGCCTAGCTGTCTCGCCCTGCCCAGGATGTACTTGTGCGTGTACCCCCCTTGTTTACTCTGTTAATTCCCTGCTTGACAGGGTTGCATCGATGGCTCCTAACAGTGTTGTTAGGTTGACCAGACCACACACTAGAAGGTGAAGGGATGACGACGTTTCGGTCCGTCCTGGATCATTCTCAAGTCGATTGGTAGAATTGACTTGAGAAAGGTCCAGGACGGACTGAAACGTCGTCGTCCCTTCACCTACTAGTGTGGTTTGGTCAACATACTTTAGCCACGTTATTGTGACTCATCGGCGGCATAGGGTTGTTAGGTGTTGTGTGTTTTGCTTGGACACCTTGTGTGTGTTTTCTGTGACTTTACTTTGTCAGTGTATCTTGTTCTTCATTGGTCATATCCGTTGCGTTACCGGCTGCTACTTGGTTCATATTTCGGGTCTTTTCCTTGCCTATTTCCAATTTTCCTCCTTCTATGCTACACATGGTTGTGTATCTGGGTCGGTGCTTATTGGCTATACTGATGTTAGGTGTTGGGGTGGGCCTCTGTCCGTGTTCAGTTCCCTGCTTTTGGACTACCCCAGTGTTTAGTTTTGGTGTCAAGTTCCTTCATTTTTTCTTTGTATCTCACTGCAGGTTTCTGTGTTGCACTGCAGTTCTGTGGGGGTGGTGGACTTCTGGTCCACTGCTCCTGCCCTACTGGTTCCTTCCTTGGGACGGGTAGCTGGGATTCCGGTCATGGCTCCGGTTTTTCTTTGTTCCTTTTCCAGAACGCGTGTTTTTGTTTTCCTGTGGTTCATGTCCTGCGTAGTTCCCCTTCTGTGTACCTTGGGGATGTGTGCGTTCGTTTTTCCCTGCTGGAGCTGGTTGTGCTGCTCCTTTGGGTTGTGGGGGCACTGTTTTGCTTCGCATTTCACGCTTTCGCTCGTGGTGCTCGTTTTCCTCGTTGGCCTCTGCCTGGACCCTGGCTCCTTGGGGTTTGGCCTTGTTGGTCTTTCAGGAGTTCTTAGGAGGGGGGCTTCCTCCTGGACAGGGCGTGTCTGCTTGCTCGGGTTGGTTCCTTTTCAACTCGCTGGGCTTGGGTTCCTGGTTTCCCTGGCGGCCGTTCCTTCTGGTTTTTGCCTGCCTTGGCAAGACCTGCTGCTTTCCTCGGTCCAGTCCTGTAGGTCTTCCCGCAGCTCCGCCTCTTTTTTGCTGGTCGGTCCAGCCCTGTTCAGGGCTGGTTCGTTCTTTCCCTTGAGTCTTCGTGTCTCGGGATTTTGTCTCTAGTTTCTCGTCGCTTGTGTGGTCACTGGTGGCTTCGTTGTTGGTCTCCCACCTGCGTGCTTCGTCTCGGCGGCGGTGTGAAGTTCCTGGCGGTCCTTCCGGTTGTCCTATCACTGCAAAAGGTTCTTCGGTCTCTGATAGGGTTGTTTTGTCTTTCCCATCGGGGTTGTTCCAGGTCTGTTGTCTGGTTCCATGTACTGTCGCTTCGTCATGGGTGGCACTGGTGGAGCCGCTCCAGCTTGCGTTCGGTGTTGCTGTTCCTTCTGTTTTGTTCTGTTTACTGTCTTGGGCGTTGTTTAAGCTCCGGCCTGCTCTTGTGTTTCCGGTGCCATCCTGGTTGTTGGCCCAGATGGTCTATTTTCTTTCTTCTCCTCGTTTTGGTCCTTGGGTTGCAGCTTGGTTGGTCAGGCCGAGGTGGCTTCCTTTGTTGTTCGGTTGCGGTTCTTCACTGTTCTCTGCGTGTCTTGGCCTCTGGGGTCGTGGACGCATTTTGGTTTGACCGGGTTCCCTTCCTTCACTCATTCCTGTTCTGGGGTTCAGGTCTGCTGGATTGTCTGCAGGGTCTTTCAATTTCGTCTGTGGTCATGTTTTTTTAGGTTAGAGCACGTGGTGTCTGCCTCCCGGTTCCTTCCCTCTTTTCCTTATCTGTGGTGAAGTAGCCCCAGGGAGCCGACGGGGCGCCTCCCAGAAAACCAGCGTTGAATGTAATGAAATGCCATTTTCTGGGTGAGTCCCTGAGGCTCCCTGGCATCCCTCCCTCCGGTCGGCGTGTTTTTCGCGTATTTTGACATCCAGCAAGAACTGCCAGTTGGATCGCCAGCGTGGATGGTCTGGGGCTCCCCCTCCCCATTCTCCTTCCCGGGAGGGAGGGGGTTTGCGAAGATGGTGGCGCGGCGACGTGATGACGTCATGCTAGTTTGATAATTTTGTTTGGGGTGTTCTGTCCACTCGTTTGGCTTTCAGTAGCAATATTTCACCAGAATAGGGGTTTGTTTTGGGGCGCCTACCTTTCTGGGTGCCTGTCCCCTTTGATGGCAGACGTAGAAAGCTCCCAACCACAGGTTTTTTTTTATAGGCTATTGTTCCTCATGCCTCTCTGTGGGAGCCAGGTTCTGGCTTGTGGTCCTTGGTAGGCAAGAACTCCTAGCACTTTGACTGATTCCAGAAAGTTATACGTATCCATTCAGCCTGGATAACTCCGGGGAGCCTCAGGGACTCGCCCAGAAAATGGTGTTTCATTATATTCAACGCTGGTTTTTTGGGATTTCATCATGCCTGTAATAATGGTGTTTTTCTTTTCAGGGGCGAGGATAATGTGATGGGGGTCACCATGTGTTTCCGTGAGATGAATCACATAGTACTGGTCATGCCATATTTCCCACACGATTCGTTTACTGTGAGTTAGTGTTTTTTTTTTGTTAAGTAATTTACTTATTCTGAGAGTAATTTGAATTCTTAGTTTACTGATTGTTTATGTTGAACTTGCTTATTCTTTTATTTTAATAATTTTATGATTTATTGTAAATTGTAACATTTAAATTACTTTGCTTCCATGGTTACAAATTTACTTTCACCTTATTTAAATATTTAATGATATTTTTCATATAAAATTTTATTCTGCAATTAAATTTAAATTAATTATTGTACTTGCTTATTTTAGGAATATGTTGGGTGTTTAAATACACTTGAACTGCAAGATTACTTGATAAACCTATTGACAGCCTTGCGTAGGGTTCACACCTACAGAGTCATTCACAGGGATGTCAAGCCTGCTAATTTTCTCTTCAATCGAAAGCATCGAAGGTTTGTAAATGGATTCTGTATTAATTAGATTTTTTATTTGAGTATTAACACCTGCATATATTGTGTGCTTAGCAAGTTGTGATGGGGTACAAAGATCCAGGTCTAGGTCACGAACCATAGCTATTGTATGTTTCCTGTTGCAATTTCTCTCTCGACATTCCGGTACTGTACTGTCGTACTTGTTCTTGAAACTGTGAATGGTGGCCGCTTCCATGACTTCTGATACAAGCTCATTTCACTTGTTTACCACTGTGCTGGTATTTCCTTACATTTCTCCAGCTTACCTGTTTTTCCAACTTTCACCTTTGCCATTATGTTGTCCCTCTCCAGGAAAAGAATGTCTACTGTACTTTGTATGTTCCCCCACACTATCTTGTATATGCTAGCCATATTGCCTGTTGTTCTTTCTTCCAGTGTCGTTAGTTTTAGTTTACTTAACTGCCCTCGAAACTAATTTCTCTCTGGTGATGTTCGTTCTTTGGAGTGGAAGATGCCCACGACTTTAATATCAGGACAAAGATCAGTGGTTGCATGTCAGAAGATGGATGATGAGACTAATCTGGGTGCAGACTGTGCGCCCACACATGGAACATATGTGAGTGGGTGCTGCTGTAGTTGGTTGCTTTAGCTTTCTGTGCAGCATGTTTCCTCTGAGTCTTGGCAGTCCATCTATTCTCTTTCACACAGGGCCCCTGTGATAACTTTGCTTTGCTAAGTTGGTTGGTCCTGTGCAAGTAACTCCCAAGTGCTGGGGTTGATGTCCTGGTCTTTGAGGGGGTCACCTTGAGGCAGTCCTAGAATCGATTCTTTCCCCCCCCCCCCCCCCCCCCAAATACACACACAGAATGTGTGCTCTGATATAATTCTTCATACATCAGCTGTTTTGGCAATTGGCTGTCAGGCATTCTGACAACATGGACAGGTCATTCGGCCTGAGTTTTCTGTAGGAGGTTGTATACACTGGGAGTACCAGCCCATTCCAGGATCTCCGTGTCCAGGATTTTGTCCTGCCACCTGTATACAGGGTATGTGTAAGGTGGTCAGAATTGCATTTCACCTTTGTAACTGCACATTAATGACATTATGTAAAAAACATACCTCGAACACTGTTTATGTAGGACAGACATAAATCTGTGCATTCATGCATGTACTGTATGTTAGATTAGCATTTTAAATGCGAGAGCATTTACATACATAAATGCTCTCGCCTTCTTACCAAACGTGATCTGACTTAGCTTTGACTCCTAGGTTCTCTCCTTTCTGTCTTTTACTAGATCTTTCTCTTTGCCATATGACCTCTTGTAGTTTTTATTTTTACCTTCCCAATTGTTTTATCTTTATTATTCATAGGGAGCCCCGGACCTACCGCGCCGGCTGCCAAGCTTCAGTTCGTTCGCTAATGTCAACCGGGATTGACGCTTCTCTGGCCTCAGTTTCCTAGGCGGTGTTTGCCTTGTGTGGCGTTCACTGCCGTGTGTTGTGGTGTGCGGTGGCCAGGAGTACTTCATCAGTGCCGGGGCTGCATGTGCTTAGTGGCTGACTTCCCTAAGCGCCCTGTGAGTACTGCCCTTGCGTTACAGGGTTATCTTCCCTGGGGCGTTCGGGAACCATTCCCGTAGAGGTTCTTGCTGCTCGGCATTTGCCTCGCTCTTGGGGCCAGCTGGGGCTTGGGGCCCTTGTTTGGCCCTGGGTAGGGATTGGTATTGTGCTGGTTAGGGCGTCAAGGTGTTGCGCAGCCTGCCACCTAAGCGGCGGCCGGTTTCTGTTGCCTCTGGAGACGGTGTACTTTTGCGGGGTTTTTCTTTTGTTTTTCATTTTCTTGCCTGGTGGGGGTCTGCCTAAGGTGGTTATAGTTCCACTGGTAGTGTTTGGCGGCCCTCTGCTAGGCCCCCGTGCTTGTAACACGTCTCAGGGGTTTTCAGTGCTATCATCTACCCTCTTGTTATGTTTGGGTTTCTTAACCGGTTAGCAACACCTTGCCCGGGCTTCCCGTAGTTGTTACCCTACGGGGCCTGGAAACCCCTGTCTGGGCTCGGGGGACCATTGAATGTGTCGTCCGGGTTCCATCCCGTCTTGAACGGGATCGTTGGTTGCTGTTCCCTTGTCTCCGGGTGACAGTCGCCATTTTTACCTCCGTCATGCTGCCTGTTGGGTCACTGACACCTTGACCCGGAGTCTTGCGAGTGATTCTCTGCTTGTTCTCCAGTACTCTCCTGATGTTATTACTGTTCAGAGTACAGGCGGCATCCGTGTTGCAAGCTAGGTTAGGTTGCTGCAACATGCTAGGTTGGTTTCCCACTCGAATGCCCCGTGGCCGCCCCGTTTGGTTAGGTGCTGCTCGCCCCTTTCTCTCCATGTTCCCGGCTCCGGACCGTCTGCGGGTTTCGGGGTCGGGGCGGGGTTCAGTTGCGGCAGAGACTCGGGCGGTTTTCGGGGGATGCCCCGTTCGGGTTGGGGACGGAGGTTTGAGCCTGTGCCTCCTGCCAAGGCTTCTGGGTCTTACCAGCGGCCCTTTCTTGTTGCCTTTCCCATGGGCTCTTGCTTTTCTTTAAGGGCGGAGGGCTTGGAGGACGGCTCTGCCCCGGGGCCTCTGTTGTTGGTTCCCGGGGCTGTGGGGGTTGCCTGCTAGCAGTTCTGGGGCGGTTTTGCCCCTTCAGGGGTTTTTCTGCTGTTGGGCGTCGTTTTTCGCCCTTCCAGTCTGCTAGCTTCCCACATTTGCTGGCGTGTTTTTGTGTATTAAGCGTCAGTCACAGCCCCTGCTGGCGGCCATTTTCGTCTGCCGGTTTCACGGCATGGCCACCAGGGCGGCGTTGCGGTTTGTTTACATGCGTCTGGGTGTGCGAGCGAGCGTCTCTGGTGAGTTTTCAAAAAATTTGCAGGGTTTTTGTTCTCCTGTTGTCGTTTCTTTGTTTTTCTGGTGTTTTCTTGCCGTTGCCTGTTCCTCTGGGAACGTTTGGGTGTTGATTTTGGGTCTGAGCCTCTGGGTTTAGGCTCAGTGCCCCTGGCTGGTATGCTTGCTCCCACACCTTGCCCCTCGGTTTTCGGTCTGTTGGGACCGTTTTCCCAGGGCGTTCTGCTGGGGTCTGTGCTTTGCCTTTTAGTGGTGTTCTCCGCCGGCAAATGTGGTGGTTTGGGCTCCCCCTGGTTCGATTCTGGGTTCCTTTGGGTTCCTTGGTTTCGTTCTGGAGGTTTCTTCCTCTTGGGCCCCCTTTTGTGGGTTCAGGGGACTTTGTTTCCTCGTGTGACCCGGTTCTGCCTTTTGGGGTTCCGGGGTCTTCCTGGCTTGCAGACTGAGCTTTTGGGTCTTGGCACATGTTGTGGTTGTGCTGGGACTTTGTGGTTTTGCTGTCGAGGTGGGCCTTTTGATGCAGTTTTGTGCCTTCTTTGCCTGGCCAGCGTAGTGCTCTTGCCACTAGTCGGCGGCTTGTGCTTTTACAATATATGTCCTCGCCTAGTTGTGCTTGTGGGGGTTGAGCTCTGGCTCCTTGGTCCTGCCTCTCAACCGTCCGTCAACAAGTGTATCGGTTCCTGTGCCTCTTGGGCTCTGTCATGTCTACATGTGACATTGTATGGGGGTCAGCCTCGTTACTTGTGTGAGGAGTCGCCACTTTACTTCTTAGTGCTTTCCCGTTCCCATTCTGACACTCAAAAAAAAAAAAAAAAAAAAAAAAAAAAAAAAAAAAAAAAAAAAACTTTAATTCTATCTGTGGCTCTTTTGGGTACTCAGTTTCCACCTGTGTCCCCTAGTGCGTGTGCCCCTTGTGTTACATAGCCTGTCCTTCTCAACCCTGTCGATTCCCTTGGGTATCTTGTATGTGGTGATCAGGTCTCCCCTCACTTCCTCTTCCAGCGAAGTGTGGTTTCATTCCCGTAGTCTCTCCTCCTGACTTCGGTAGTGTACTTTTTCTTTCTGAAGGGGTTCTGTTCCCTTCTCTGTTGACTGGGCGCTGGGGGAGCAGCTTGCTCTGTTGCCTCTCGCTTGGTCCCGCTGTTGGTGGGCGCTTTGGGTTGTCTTCCGGCCTCTGCTGGCGTCGGAGGACGGCTTCTCCCCCTTGGGGGGGTTCAGAGCTGGCGGGGTGGGCTTCTTCCCTGCGCTTCGTCATTTCCTCTTCGTGGGTGCGTGGGGCGTGGTCGATCCGCCCCATCCTTCTGGGCTTCCCGTCTGCTCTTTGCGGTCATGAGCTTTTCCCGTCTGCTCTTTGCAGTCATCAGCTTTTCCAGTCTGCAGTTCTTCTGGACTACTTCCGTCTGCGCCCTGGATCCTCTGCCCTGCTCGGAGGACTGTTGTCTCCTGTTCGGATTCTGTTAGGGCCGGGTGCATGGATGGTGGACCTGGACCTCCAGGTCACTTCTTGGCACGTTCCTCTCCAGTTTTTCTGGGGCTAGCACGGTTGGTAATTACCTATGTGTACTTACCTAAGTGTAGTTACAGGATGAGAGCTACTCTCGTGGTGTCCCGTCTTCCCAGCACTCTTTGTCATATAATGCTTTGATTATAATTGTCATATTGTCATATAATGATTGTCATGTGTCATAATATGTCTTCATATGATTGTCATACAATGCTTTGGTGGTGGGGCTTCAGGTTTGCTGTTTTTATTGCATTCCCTATTTTGTGAAGGGCACTTTGTATACTCTTTGCATCTTTACCGGATCTTAGTGCCCTGTCTGCGTCTGAGATTCGGTGTCTGGCCTACCTCGACGACTGGCTGGAGTGGGCTCCCAGTCAGTCCGCTTGTCTGCTCGCCAGGGGATGGTTCTTTCCAGATCGCTGGGTTTGGTTTCCTGGTGATCTGGAGGTTTTACCTTCTGTTTCCGTCCCGGGTTCGGACCTGGGCCTTGTTTCAGGCTCTTGGGCCCCTCATTGTCTTCCCTCCAGAAGTGTTACTGTGGCTGTGGTCCCGCCTTTGGCTGTTCAGGAGGGGGTCCCGGGTTGCTCAGCGGTTGCTTGGGCGGTTGTGCGGGAGTTTGCACTTTGGCGTGCTTGTCTGCCCGCGGAG